TTCAGCAAGCTCAAGGTTTGTAATAATCTTATATAAACTTGTGTTTAGTCGTACTGTTTAAATATTTATGAAATTATTAGGTGAACGTGTTTAAAGCAAATGGGTGATATTTTGAGGAGAACTTTACATTGGTTTTAAATGTGTTTGGGTGTTGGAGGACACTACTTTCAGCAGCTATTTCAGTATCAGGTAAGTAGATTTACTGAAAAAGAAATTCTTTGTGGGTAGTACCTCAAATTCAGCAATAACATTGGATTTTCTTAGGTAAGAGAAACAACCAGTCAGCCATAATCTCTCTCTGAGAACAGGTGATAATACTGCTGCAAATTAAGGAAAGACTCACTATGTATGTGACTGATATTTATGACCAAAATTTTGTCGTTCTGTGTTTCATTACTTTGTTTCCTCATATCTTAAACATTTGTCCTGTGGATCAGTATTAAAAGTATATTTATTGTGTTTTAATAATTTCATATCTCATGTTAGTGTAACAGGAATTAATCTCTTTGCGTAGTTTTCAGCCTAAATGCTTTGTACTACCTTTGTCACATTAATTTTCATTTGTAGGTTTCAGGCATCAGGATAAGAAGGCTGTAGGTTCAGTACAGTCACAGGATGGACCAGTTTCTGCTCCAAACAAGTTACCATTACCTCTTCCTTTAGCTGTTCGTGACAATACATCAAGATTTTACAAGAAAAGTGATGTAACTGAACAAATAAAGAAGGCGGGCACAGTCATTGATTTTCAGAAAGAAATAAAGCAGAACATGCAACAGAGTGTCGCAGATGTTGATGAGGCCAAAGTCATGAGAAGAGACATATTAGCAAATGATGAAAATAGTTTCAAAGCAAATATGAATCAAGACAATGGTGGAGTAAATTCCGAATTTGACGCAGTGAGAAAAACTAAACAAAAATATATCCCATCAAACAGTGTCAGTAATGATAAACTCTATGATGATGGTAAGAATGAGAGTCATGAACGTGAAAAGCGAAATGTCCTACTGGAAGAATTTAGTGACAAAAACACATTTATGGTTGCCAGCGCAATAGATAAAGGTCAAAATAAACAGGATATATCAAATGTAGTATTGGAAGATGAAAAGGAGAACTGTGAAGCAGGTGAGAAAGTAGATAAAACTAATGGAGTAGAAACATTGAACATGGCGTTGCTTTCTAAGGACAAATACAATGTTAAGGATTATCATATTGGAGATATGAAAGATCAAGAGTCTTCATCACTGTCAAATAAAGAAGGTGCTTCTTCACATATCTCAGATTTAGGTAGT